GAACGGCCAATTCATGCCCATCTCTGCTAAGGAAGGACCAAGTGAAAAACAAACATGAAGGGGGCAAAGATAAGAGAATTGTCTGGAGATGAAACCCGAGCAAGTTACCCCCACGATTTTCCAAACCATCAGTGCATTATTTCAAACCACTTGCTCATTTGGATCACAAATCTCATCATACCCAGTCAATAGGGTTACTGGTGAGGTTGGCTGGGGCTTTCAGAAACTGTAATCAAAATATGTAATGTTTCCTAGCTTTGAACAAGCAAACAGGGCCACCACGAGCCCCCTGTGGCTTTGTTGACCTGCAGCTTCCATCTGTTCTAGCCCATGCAGACCATTAAAAGGGATCATGGGAGTTGTAGTCCAGAAACAACTTACTACCCTTGCAAAAGGGGCTTGAAACTTGGACACTGATAAGAATGCAGCAGGAGAGAGAGCCATAGTTAGGAGCAGACCATTGTCTCCTGGGAATACCTCTTTCCGGGTCTCCTGGGAATACCTCTTTCCGGGTCTGTTCCTTCTGAACCTAACAACAGGGGACATTGTTCTTTGCCCTTGCCAGCTCTCGGGAGATTGGTAATGAAACACAAAAGCACACACAAAGGACGACACACCATTCTGTGGCGAGAAATCCCCAGTCTCGCTCAAAATCAATGCTCACATTGAAATCAATAATGTGTGTTTGCTGCTGACCTACTTTTCGTGCACGAATCGGAAGCTGGCCAGTGAGGTCGTTGCCACTCTGGATTTCTTTGTTTGCTGCTTCAAATCATTGGACTCCGCAGCCGGAAGGGACCCCACGGGGTGATAGAGCCCAACCCCACTGCCAAAGCAGAAAGGCCGCCACCTTCCTGGCAGGTGGGTATCTAAGCTCTGTTTGAGAACAACCCAGGGCAGGAGAGCTTACCAGCCTCCGAGGAAGCCCATTTCACGGCCCAACTGTTTTTCCTGTCAAGAAATTCTTCCTAACATTTAGGCCAAATCTCCTGTCTTAGAACTTGAATCTATGACTTCAAGTCCTGTGGAGCTGCAGAAAACAAGTTTGCCACGATCCGCTGAGTGAGAAGCTCTTGAATCTTGGATGTCGGCTAGCGCATTATCTCTCTGTCTTCTCTCCAGGCTAAATCCACCTGGCTCCTTCGAGTCATGCCTCGGAGGTCTTGGGTTGTCCAGCTCGTTTGTTGTCTTCTTCCTCTGGGCAGGTGCCCAGATCTTACACGGTACCCACAACTGAACCTGGGAATCCATGTGAGGTCTTGCAACCAGGAATGTGATGGCAAAAGAAGGACCTTGGATAATAACACCTCGCCAAGGAGCACATGCGACTGATGATGCAGTAAAGTGCGCCCTCTGGGGTGACCCGGGAGTACTACCACACTTCATCTTCCACCCTCATTCACTCCAGATGGTTCAGTGGACAGAAGTCTTCGGTAGAACCTCGACGGAAAACTGAACAGGAGCAGAAGAGCCCAGGGCATATACAAATTCCCTTCCGAACAGCTCCTGTTCAGTTCGATGGGACTAATATAGGGGAGGCTCAGGGGTTGAGGTCTCTGGCTGTGGAGTTGGGATTCCCCCCTTGGGGCGTCCTTGAGAGAGAGGGTTGGACTCGATGACCCTTCGGGGGCCCTTTCCAGCTTTGCAGTTCAAAGGTTATAGGAACAGGCAGCCTGGGAAACTAGTCAATTGCCTTTCACAGCAGATTTTTAAGCAAAGGCTGGGTTGGCCACCGGCCAAGGACCCTGTTGGAGCAAATGCCCTTCCTGGGCGAAGGGTCAGACTGGATGATCTTTGCGCCGCCTTAAAGCTCTATGAAATGGGATGCCACCTGAGACACCAAGGGTGGAAGGAGTTGGATGGCAGCTGGCGTCCGCCCAGATGTTGAGGATCACGATGGCAACAGTCATATCACCACTACAGTAACGTCACCTTGTCTGTCTCCCAAAAGCAGGAAAAGCTTTCGTTTGCCTACACAGAAATAGCAAAAGCACTAGGCTTGGACCCATTTTCGCCACAGGGCACAACCCGCCTACTGTTCCTTGCCCTGTAATACTCTCCACAACCCACAACGGTGCCTCAGACGGCTTCCCCTTTGCTCTGCTCCCCCGAACCTCTGAGGGAGCCATTCTGAACTGAACCAGCCCTTGTTTAACCCCATCCCAATTTCTTTTCCATTCAGGATAAATGATGGAACTTCTTGCCAGCAAGTAAAGACTTTGGCGGTTCTAGAAATTAAGGCCATAGTTTGAAAAAGCCAGACGGGCAGAATGGCACCCCCTCCAACCGCACCTCACTTGGTTCTGAATCCAGCTGGAACGAGCGCAGCGCTTAATATTACAGAGCTTAGACAAAGGAAGCTGGAATGGAAGCGATTTAAGAGATAATTTTATTATGATCATTAGCCACAGGAAAACGACCAGTAAGAATAGGTTTAATACTGGAGCGCAGATTCAGAGTGTCATAATAACAGAATTTAAAAACATACCGTATGTGAAATGTAAAGAAAAAGACCCTGCATAGGAACCTCTAATCCCATCTTTGCTGTCCTGACTCCAAATACAGATTGGAATGGCCACCAGTAGGCAAGAAAAATTATACTTCAAACAGACCACCAGTAGGCAAGAAAAATTATACTTCAGTTTTCCAATTTTCTGTGCTATCTTGGATATCACACTTGTTGCTAAATCGGGTCGTTGCAGTAATATTTGGATATCACACTTGTTGCTAAATCGGGTTGTTGCAGTAATACTAATCATCATACGCTGTCAAGTCAATTCTGGCTTATGGATTTTCCAGGTAGGGAAGACATAGAAGGGGTTTCCCATTCCCTTCCTTTAGGGGGCAGTTCTGGGACTCTGCGCAGCTGGCCCAAGGCCACCCAGGCTGGCTCTTCTCCCAGAAGGCACAGCAGTGGGGAATCGAACTCATAACCTCTGGCTCCACAGCCATTGACCTCAACCACTGAGCTGTTCACTCAGCTGTCTGACTGTACTCCTCCCCTCAAAAAAGGGAACCAGTAGCAAACGGTCAAGCGTCTACCTTGGGATTGCTGAACAGGAATGTAATTTCCAATTAGAACATTTCTGATCTCATCCTCTCTGCTTTCTACTCCAAAAACATTTACAATCTCCCATTTCCCCCAGAAAGCTGTGTAAATGTCTCAAAGGAACAACCCGCCAAGAATTTATTCATGATGTGATTCAAGATCCACGTTTTCCTGACCCGGTTCTCTGCATTTAAGAGAAATAAACAGTGAGAAACCTATTGCGGCATCAGTGTAAAATGTCTCTCTTTTTTTGACTACTTAGGAAATGTTAGCGCTAGAAGCTCCTGGAAGAAAATGAGGTTTCTTACAAGCAGTCTCTGTTGGAAGTCCATGCTCTCCATTGATCAAAGGTTCCTGGTCTTGCCTCTTGCGTTTGTTCACCAAATGGTTTACCTCTTCGTTCCACTTCCCCTCCGGAAGGCCGAGAGTCCTTAAGCAAGCAATAGCCGCCGCTTGTTCAGCTAACTTTTTCGACTTTTCCCTGCAGACGACAAGAATTCAGAACAGGTGAAACAGACACACGTAGACATCCGAAATGTCTCCAACATTCAGCCCCAAAACACAAGGGGCGGTGACACCTTCATGAGATCATTTTTTTTTAAAAAAAAAAACAAGCAAATGCTAGCTTTCAACCCATATAGGTGTTCCTTAACCAGCACCACCGTCCTGTGGATGGTGCAGGAAAAACCTTCAAAGAAGGTTCAAAAGTCATGGCCAGGTTCCTCTGTTAACGGGAATCACAACGTGGGGACTGCAGAGTCAAGGTAGAGGGGCCCTTTCAGACTTCACTTCTGGTGTGGATTAGAGACCAGGAGACGGTCTCTCCCAGTCTACATAGTTATTGTTTGTTTATTTATTTAAAATCTTTTTTTACTCAGTGTTTCTCCTTGAAAAGGATTTGCATCATTAAAAGACAAAAAAGGGAGAAACAGAGAGTACAGAAATACTGAAAAGGCTCAAAGGAATATCATATTAAAAAGCATGAGCAACACAAAAAAACATTCAAACCAGTAAGGCACAGCCATCCATTTAAAACTCCCACTCAAGGCAGCCGGTCACTGAAGGAAAGCTTGCCTAAAGAAAAAGATCTTCACCTGCTTGGGGACGGACAGCCAAGAGGGGGCCAGGCAGGCCTCCAGTGGGAGGGAGTTCCAGAGTCTGGGAGCAGCCACAGAGAAGGCCCCTCTCTTGCGTCCCCACCATATACACCTCAGAAGGTGGTGGGACCAAGAGAAAGGCTTGTCCTGAGGATCTTAACACCTGGGCAGGCTCATAAAGGGAGATGCAGTCCTTGAGATAGTTTGGGCCTAAGCAGCTTAGGTCTTTATAGGTTAGAACCACCACTTCGAATTGTGCCTGGAAACAAATCAACAGCCAGCGGAGCTGCTGTGACAGAGGGGTTACGTGACCCCTCTGACCAGCCCCAGTTAATTTTGCTGTGTTTTGGACCAGGTGAAATTTCTGGACAGCCAACACACACAAAGTGCTTGGAACAGCTGAAGTACTGTTAAATATCAGCTCCTTCTGCTAATCCATCCTCTTTCCAGGTTTAGAACTTTCAGATGATCACGGATCAGAGGCCCAGTGGGGGGATTGAACTCCCAACCTCTGGCTCCACAGTTCACATGGTATCCAAATCTGAATCGACAGGACACTAACCTGACAATGTCTACCGGAAAAAAAAATCAAACAAAACCAAGCTCTGAAAACGCTTACCATAAAGTTGATCTGTACTTTTGTTCTGCTACGGTGACCACGGAACAGAAGAGTCTGTCCTGCGGCCTTTCCATCTACAGCAAGACAAGAGGGCGAGGGCGACGGTGATGTGGGTCTACTTCTCTTAAAAAGAGAAATATTCATGCCACCCAAGAGCTGATTCTGCCTCCCATATAAAATCCAGGCCAGGTCAGACAAACGGCAGCTGTAAATATCTAAGCTGGAACAGCAGCACAGAGCCCCCCCTTTGAAAACATACACACAAATACACACACACACACCCCTCTCATTCAAAATGTGTATTGCACTAGTCCTTCAATAGGGTCTATCGGATCCTACCTTCCAACAGTTGGGGTATTTCAACTCGTTGGTGGGACAGCATGCCACCCATACCATTTGAACCATCGCACAGCTGGTTCTTCCGACCCCGAAAGGGTTTCAAGCTTCCGTTTATGGAACAGCTGCCTCTTGACAGCACATGGCACACCGCGGCGGAAAAGGCAGAGGAATGTCCCGGGGCAGTCTGCGACGTGACAAGTTTGGGAAACGCGATGTGTGAAACATCCCACTGGGAAAACATATGGGCGTCCCCTGAAGGATGCCTTTGGATCGCAGCCCAGGAGTCCAGACGGCAGCTGTCCGTCAGGGCGGGATCCTATCGGGCAGATGGGGGACGGAAGGCTCTTTGTACCAGAATACAATGGGGTTTATTGTGTGTGTGTGTTTGTGTGTGTGTGTGAAAGGTACAGCTCCTTTCTGCAGGTCTAGCTCAGACACCAAGGATGCTATAAAATCGGAGCAAAGGCTGCATACAACACACACACACACACACAGCAAAAACTAGAGGCACGCAGAAGTCTTGCCAGGCAGTCGGTGGTTGGCCCTTTTCCTTCCATGTTGCTCCCGAGCGAGAGAGAGCCACTGGCTTTACGGTCTTGGTACCTGACATCAAGAGCATCACAAAAGCCCTACTGCTGCTGTATCACCTGGTCCAGCATTCTATAGCCAACCAGCTGACCGTGGAAGATGCACCTGAAGGATGCCAGAGTCACAGCACCCTCCACCTTGTCTTCCTCAGCCACTGATACAGGAGGTGGACAAGACATCCTGGTCTATCCAGTCTCCTTTGAAAGCTATCTGAATCGCTGCCTGTTATTACTGAAAGACTAAAAGGGCTGGGTATGCTGAAAAAAAAAGAGACTGAGGAGAGATACAGCACTTTTCAAATCTTTGAAAGGTCCTACAGAAGATCAGCAGGATCTGTTTTTGGCCATCCAAGAGGGCAGGGCATGTTAGAATGGGCTCAAGCGCGACAGGAAGCCAGATTTAGGTTGAATATCAGGAAAAACTTCTTAAATGTTAGAGCAGTAGGACAAGGGAGCTCACCACCTCGGGAGGTGGTGAGCCCCCCAACGCTAGAGGCATTTAAGAAAAAAAATGAGACAACCCTCTGTCAGATCTGCTTTGATTTGGACTTTGCATTGACTCGACGACCTTCTAGCCCTCTTCCAACCTTCTGGGGCCGTCCTCCTGCCATTTCCTGAATTCTACCTTGGGTTCTGGTACTATGAGAGAGCAAACATCACTTCTCCCTATCTATTTTCTTTTCCCTTGCCATGCAAAATTTTATCTGTCCCGGCTCCCTACTCACTATTATTCTAAGTTAAACAACCCCAGATGTTGTAACCTTGATCCAGGCTGTTTAGCACGTCGACGGGCCTTTTCTTCACCATATTCCTACTCAGGAGAAACCCCCATGTAGGAAAAACTCCACCTTTCTAGGTCATGGGAACACAGCGCAATTTTTAAAATCCTGATTCACAGGACCGAGGAACCTGAGTTGTCTCAATCTCAAGCTGCGACCCCCTCCAGACCCTCCTTGGGAGCCATCTTCTACTTGCTCAAAGAGGAATCGCTCTGAGGAGAAGCAAGCAGATTTGTGCTGCCTGGAGGGTTCTGGGAACTGTGGTCTGAAAACTCAAAAATCTCCAAGCCTCTGTTTCTCAGCAGGCAACCAAGGACTCTACCCCAAGGGTCTTGGAAAACGCAGACTCACCGTTTCGTAAACTGGCTGGGGATGCTTTTCTTTTCTGCACCACTCCAAAAGACACATTTTGGGGGTAATCTGTGGGGGGTATTCTCGCCTGGGGAGAAAAACGACAATAAACGTTGACTAGGAAGCTGAAATTCATTCCGGTCTGTGGCAAAACAGATGGAGGGTGGATCACTCAGAAATGAGGAACCACAGCTGTTGACTGGGAGAAGCGGGGAAAGAAATCGGTTTGAACAACAGCACAACTCCCTCTGTGACTTCACAGGAGCCTCGTGGTGGCGGGGTGGGGAAACGGCAGCCTTCCATCTTTCCAAGGTCGGTAAACTGAGTACGCAGCTGACGGGGAGGGGACAGCAGCAATATCTAATCTGCATGATTTAATTGTAAAGTACCCAGAGAGCGTTCTAAGCGCTGTGGGGTGGTCTATCTAAGCAGCTCCTGCTTCACTTTCGGGGCTCCCGGACTGCAGCACACCAGGAGTGCAGAAGAGTTCCTTTTCTGGACGAAATCTCTCAGAATTCCCCGGTCACAAGCCTGGCTGGCGAGATGGCGGGAGAGCTAGTCCAAAAGGTTGACCCTTAGACACTTGAGGTGCTCCCTGATGAACTCCAAAAGCGACCTGTCCCTCCCATCCCCACACCGGTCCCTTGTTATATTTCGGCCCGTTTGGGGGAAGCAACGTCAGAATGCCTCGCCAGTCCTTCGGAGGGAATCTGCCTTAGCAAGAGGGCAGGGCCAGGATTTAGCTAACAGGCTAAGAAGGAAGCACAACCACCACCACCCCAGTGTCCAAGCACCCCCCGAGTTGCCCAATCACATTGTTATTCACATTTTGTTAAAACTGCCCAGTGTCACTCCAATATCACATCTATGTTATACACATGTGTGTGTCATATGCACAAATTGTACGTACATAGTGCTATCCCTGAAGACATGTGCTCTGCTATAATGAAATCATAAACCGCTCAGGGACGCACACTTCATTTATGAAAGAGTCAGCTTGGGCAACGAAAGATTCTCAAGAATAATCATCATGTAACATCAAGTCAATTCTGACTTATGGTGACCCTTTTTCAGGGTTTTCCAGGTACGGAATCCTCAGATGTGCTTTACCTTTTCCTTCCTCTAGGGGGAGCCCTGGGACTGTGCGCAGCTGGCCCAAGGCCACCCAGGCTGGCTCTTCTCCTCCCAGGATGCACCCAATGGGGCAAATCCTGACTCCCAATCTCCCACAGCCAGAGCCAAGCCTTAAACGGGCCACAGAGTTCACCCCGAGACAGAAGGCACCAACTAGTAGCCATGTGCTGAGAAAAACTGAGGTAGCCAATTGCTTCGCTTACTTATCAAATCTCACGGCCATTTTTCTGACTTCTGGATCGTCGGCTTGGTCTTCCTCCTCCTGGTCGGTGGCTTCTAATGAAACTTTCTTCCCCTCCAGAAAAGCTGACGCTTCTTGGTAAAAACTGCTCATACCAAAGACTTCACTAATTAAAAAACAAAACAACAACAACAACAAAAACACACATATATATGAATCATAAAACAACCAGGTTCAAGCTACGGACGAGCCACTCCTGCAAACAGCTGAAGAGATGAGAAAGCAGAGGATTTTAAAGTAATGGACCCACTTCTATGGGATGGGAATGCTAGTCACCTCCCCAGGTTATAACTTTTTAAAAATATGCCGAGGCACCTCCAACCACCGAATGTGTTACAGGCTCTACCTAATGAAAGGAGGGTGGGTGGGAAATTTTAAGAAAGTCCTTGGCTCTGTCTGGGCTCACCGAGAGGGTCCAGAAGGCTCAGGAAAGCCGGGGACAGCCCTCCCACTATGCTTTGCCCACTCACTTAACAGCCCTATGCTGGGAGTAGAAAACATAGTAGAAATGTAAGACCCCAAACCTCCTCTCTCCCCCCACCTCCTTAAATGCTCTTCTGCTCCTTGGGCGGCAGGCCTAGGGCTTGGGTGGGCAGATGCCATGCAGAAGAACACAGGGAGGGAGGTTAGCACCAGAGAAGAACCAAGCCAGAGGGAAATCGTGGTGCCTCGTTCCACGGCACTACTACCCATGCAGCAAGGATAGGCTTGGGCAGGTGTCAAAGAGAGTGGAAACATGACACATTTTGTTCCATTTTCAGCCCTTGCCATTCTGCAAATATGCAACAGTCCCCACTCAATAGGTTGACCTCAAGGATCGGCGGTGGAAGGTACTTCTCTACCAGGTGCTAGATGCCAGCTGGCCAGTAGGGGGCAGCAAGAAACTAGTTTGCAAAATACAACTCCACAGCCCGAGAGAGACTTAGTGGAAGTAACTGAGCGTTGGAACAACCAAAGCAGAGCTTTTTCCAGTTAGCTGGTACTGACCGGCTTCCTTCACAAGCACGTGGGTGCATGAATCTCATTTCTGCACCAACCAAAACCTATCACAAGTGTTCCATTCTAGTAACTGCAGCACAGCAGAAGCCAGGAATATCGGAACCTTGAGATTCAAATACAGTGGGGTCTTGACTTGAGAACTTAATCCGTATTGGAAGGCGGTTCTTAAGTCAAAAAGTCTGTAGGTCAAGTCTCCATTGACCTACAGTGCATTGAAAACCGATTAATCCCGTAACAGGCCGTTTTTCTTCCATTTTGGTTTTTTTCTGGTCTGTAAGTCAAATCTCAGTCTGCAAGTCAAACCTAAATTTTGCGGCCAGAGAAGTCTGTAACTCAAAAAGTCTGTAAGTCAAGCCGTCTGTAAGTCAAGGGTCCACTGTAACTTACGCAATACGAAAACAAGGGACATATCACAAAATAGAAACCACTGCTAAGCCTTGGAAGTCCTATTTCAATAGTTTTCTAATGCAACAGGATGAACTTGGGGCCAAGAGCCTATCTGAAACGTTGGGGTACACACCCAAAGGTCGGTGGAGAACAGAGATGGGCATGACCCACCAGTTTGGCGGGTCGTGGGCGGTTCATCTAGCAGTCGAACAGGGGTTTGCCGCTCCAAAGCCCCGCCTCCTTTATCGGGCGCCCACTCAGAGGCAGCAACCTGGCTTCCCTGTCCCGCCTCCTCCGGGTGCTACCTCTGAGTGGGTGCCCGATAAAGGAGACGGGGCTTTGAAGCACTGAACGCACCTATTCATCCACTAAACGAACCGGTTCGTGCCCATCTCCAGTGCAGAATGGCCACCCTATCTTTGAATCCCAGTCCAGCACTACCACGGTTTGACTTTTAATTACACGTTCTTGCTCATTCTATAATTAAAAGGTAGGAGCACCTTAGTAAAGACTCAAGACTCTTAAAAGATGTGTCACGGGAAGGGGGTGCAAACAGGTAACATTAGCTACTTCTTCTTCCCATCTCATTTTAAACTTTTAAAAAAATCCTTCACACACCTTTTTTCTTTCAAAGTTAGCAAAGACCCTGGCTGGATCCAGGCGCAGATTCGACTTCACTCCCAGGGATTTCAGCATGACATGTCCCACTGATTTCAACAGCAATGAATTTCAGCTAATCTTATACTCTTACTTCAATCAACCTGGGAGTAAACATCCCAAAAGTAAGCAGGACTTACTTCTCAATAAGCATGTATTGGATCATACTGCTGGGCTGAAGGGCCGAAATATATCTTTCTATATACTCAGAGCAAGAACGTCAAAGAAGTAGTGCTCAGCGTAAATTCATCTTTGAATTTTCATATTACAGATGGAGTTTCAGCCTGTTGTGTTTCAAGATCTTGTTCCTTTGTTAAGATCTAAGACCAGCTTTGTACTATAGTGACAAGAAATCTCCAAATTGCAGAAAATGAAATCTTATACAAAGTTTACACACACACACACACACACACAAATGGGTCCCGTTCCCTATGGGTTTTCTAATCCTGCCACTTTCAGGGAAGATCTAGTTCAAATTATACTTTCTTCCCCCACCCCTCCAGCCCCTTACACTAAGGCGGTGGCGCCCAACCCTGTGTCCCCAGACGTCCTTGGACTGCAACTCCCAGAAATCCTGGCCACCATAGCGACTGCAACTCCCAGAAATCCTGGCCACCATAACAAACGGTGGTGAAGGCTTCTGGGAATCGTAGTCCAAGAACATCTGGAGGCCCAAGGTTGGGGAACCACTGCCCTAGCGGCTTTCTCCAAGGACATTTAGATGAACTGGAAAGGAAAAAAAAAACTCCCACCAGATTTCCTGCATGGACTGGGCAGCGTGTAGCTTCTTCCCTTGTGCGTTCTCCAGCTGTTCTTGAAGCATCTGGCACAAGCAGTACTTTGTGTTGGTGTAGTGATTGTCGTACCTGACGGACTGATAAAACGAGACAAGAAATTAATAATTTAACAAAGAGGTGCAACGGCAGGTACTCTAAAGGTCTAAATATAGATAGGTAGGACGTTTAATGAGGGGTTTTACTGTTCCTGCCACCCCCGTCAGTCTCCATGGCCGAGCAGGCATTTCAACCCAGATCTCCTGCCTGCAACACCCCGCCGCCTCTCACCTTATGCAAGAGTAGCGCTTGCACTAATAGGGTGGCCTGTCAACCAGTCAACCAACCAACCCAGCTTAACACTCCAACACTTCTTGGCTGCCTGAAATGTTCATCCCTAAAGGGCTTCTTTATCCAACAAGAAACTAATCAAAACTCACAAGAAGAAGCAGGCAAAGGCCCTTCATATCCTGATTGTTATTTGCTTGTTGTTGTTTTTTTAAAAAGCCGGATTATCCCAGTTTCGCAAACTGTAGCAAAATCTGTTGACATGCATTGAAGAGACGGTACACTTCTCCCACATGCGTGCACCCGCGTTGAAAAGTATGTATTTATTTTTATTGTTTTGACTGATATACTGCCCCACAGTGCTAAAGCACCCTCTGGATGTTTTACAACATAATTTTGCAAACAGCACTTTGCTCCTCCAGCGAGCTGAGTGCTCAAATTACTGACCTCGGAGGGACAGAAGGCAGAGTCCACCTCCAGCCGGCTACCTGAGCCCACTGGGATTGAACTCAGGTTGTGAGCGGGAGTCTTCACTGCAGGACTGCAGTTCAACCACTGCGCACAAGATAACGTAGAACAGGGCAACTATGTTTGTATGAAAGGTAGAAATCCCTTGGGGACAACGAGTAAGGGAACACATTCCAGCAGCAGACACAAAAATAGACAGAACCACCTTTCCTTCTTGCCTGCCACCTATTCTTTCGTCTGCTTGTGCCAGCCGAAAGGGACAGATTGCTCTTCCCAGAAGTTTAAATCAGACCTTAGAAAATGTCCTTTATTTTTTTTTGGACTTCCAAGCCCCGGAATGCCCAAGCCTGTGTGTTAGCCCTGCCACCTGCAGGATCAGGGGAGCTGCTGTTCCCCAGAAGTAACGTTTCTCGTCGAGGGCTCTTGAAAACAGGTCAAGAGCCAAACGGACAAGGACCGAAGGCTCTTTTGCTCCAGGACAAGATGTCTTAAAACCTGCATTTTCTCCATGTGGAACGACAGGAGGATCCAACACCTTTCATAGAATTTACATCACTGTAGTCACCGTCATTGTAAGGGTCTATCCAAGAATCTAGCATGTCGGGGCTTACATATTTGATGTACTCCTGCATGACATCTTTCAAGGGGCAGGGGCCTTCCTTCCTGAAGATGGACGGGTTCCACATGGCAGCGCGGGCAATCATCACTGAGGACGCCCTTGTTGCGTCCCGGAAGGCTTCTATGTCAGTATACTTTTTGATGAAGTCATGAGACCCTCCACTGGGAATTATACTTTTTGATGAAGTCATGAGACCCTCCGCTGGAAATTAGAAAAGAAAACGAAAAAACAAAACAAAACACGGAATATTCCTTTCAGTGGTGATAAACCACAGTATCAGCAGCTGCATTCAATGCTCACATCCTGGGTACTCTGGAAAAGAAAAAGAAAAAACAAAACAAAACATGGAATGCTCCTTTCAGTGGTGATAAACCACAATATCAGCAGCTGCATTCAATGCTCCCATCCTGGGTACTCTAGATATAAATGAACCTACACTGATGCCTCGCAAGACGAAAATAATTCTTTCCGTGAGTCATTTCATATTGCAAAAATTTTGTCTTGTGAGTCACCAAAAAAATAAATAAATCACAAAACGCTTTCGTCTTGCAAGTTTTTCGTTGCACGAGGCATTCGTCTTGCGAGGCATCACTGTACTCAGAAAGATATCAAAGAGCGTGCCTGGCTTTGTAAAGATGTCCTCCACTTATGAGTATCCACTGATTCATTATCTGCGGTCTAAAAATGTTAAAAGAAAAATCCCCACCCCCAATATATATTGTAATGAAGTTACCAGAACTGGCTACTAGAGGAAGCCAGAGAGACTATGCTAGTATGTATGGCATTCACTATTAAAATAGCATTCTGTTTTGTTTTTTTTCAGCACCCATGGAAGATGACGTGTAAAGGAAACCAGGGCGGATGCTCCCATTTTGCTAATGCTCGCTCTAGCTTGCACGATGACCTGGGGTGGAGAATTTAGTGGAGGATATGAACCAGGGACCTCTGGCCTCGTCTCTTACTCTCTCACCTACCCTGCATCAGGTTTGACTCTCACTGCATTGTAACAGAGGCCAACATGATCTGTATATTTCACTCCATTAAAAGTGGAGCAGGAGGTAACAAAGACAGTCAAACGGTGCTTTTTGAGGCTCTCGGAAATAATCAGACAGAAAAAAATCTACCCTTCTGCTTAAATACCTGCTCATTTTGAGGAAGAAATGCCACCCCCCTCCCAATTCCAACAAGGTTTTTAGAAAAGGTAATCTCATATTTATCATATATTATTTTGTTTTACTCATTGCCTGTTCTCTCAGTGATCGGTAGTTACTGTACATACAAAGGCCACAATCCTGGTGGAACTGCAGAGTGCAAGTGAGGGACCATGTTAAGGGGTAATGCGTGATCTTGCTGGCTCTCCCATCACATGCTCAGACATAGCCAAGTTGCACAACAGATGGGAAAATGTAAACGTTGCCTAGGCACACAGTGTTACACAATAGGGGTTTGGTCTTAAACAACACAAACCAGTCCATTCCAGTGAAACAAATCACTGAAGTTTTATCTTTCAAAAATATCTCTGTTGGACTCCCTTTGTCTGCTGGATCAACGTTTACAGCTCAACCTTTTTCAGATTTTCCACACAGGATCACAAACGAGGAGGAAACAATCAATTCTCGTTGCAATCTACATAGTTATAATTTTTCAGCTTCTCAAGATTATAGTGGGAAGCAAACCTTTTTTGTAGGGGGGGGGGAAGGGGCCCTGGTCTTCCTGTGATTTTACTAGCTCGTGCTGATCTAGCGAAGATGACTGCCAAGAAAGTACTCAGGTTTGGTTCTTTCCTTGCCACCAGGAGGACTAAGGAAACATGTGTGCAAACGCTTCTGATTCATCACTGAAGAGCCAAACCTTGGGGAAAATAAAATCCCCAGCACTGGGAATGAACACAGCAGGAGGCATGCCGGTCATTCCAGGCTGGCACAAGACTGGGGGATGGTATTCGGTCTCTCAAAAAATCAAAGTTCCCTGGGATTGGGCCACAAGGGAAGATTTCTAGTAATGACGGCTGGAAATGTGTTGTTGCTCTTTGCTGCCGAGTCAAACCGACTTGTAGCAACCCCCAATGGGGCTTTCAAGGCAAGTGGGGTATTCCCTCCCCGCCCCCTCCGTGACCTTCAATGGCCGAGCGGGAATTTGAACCCTGCTCTCAAGAGGCCTAAGTCTGTCACCGCGCCGAGTACCATGTGTGTACTTGGCAACAAAGAGGAAAGCGCCTGCCGAAATCTCAGGAGCCAGAATTCTAGGGGAGGGGGACAGAAACATAAGCCATTGTCTTGAGCAGAGTCAAGCTATTGGTCTGTCTACGCCAGTAATGCCAGCTCTGGCTGGAAGCCAGCCTCTGGGTCACGGCGCCCGACCTTTGAGTTGCTCAGAATTTAGATTCTTTGGGTGCAGAACCCTGACCTGTGCCAGCCGCGGAGTGCCGTGGGGATGCCACGGCCCCTCGTAAGAACCTCCCAGCTGCCTGCCTCTCGCTTGTTGTCTAGTACCTATAATTAGACACGGATGAAAAAGCAGCTACCGAGTCCCACTTACTTGGCTATTACCGGGATAGACACGGCTCCAGAGATGGCTTTGATGACATCGCACTGAACCGGATGTTGGGGCCTCTCTTCTTTCTTCCTTTGCGAAACAGAGAACAAGAGTAAGCAGAGAGACCAAAGATTACCAGCTCCATCCAGAGAATTCCTCTGAGCAGATGGAATGACAAGCTACCTCGGGAGGTAGAGAGCGCTCCGATCCTGGAGGCATGTGCAAGAGAAAATGAGACAACCGCCCATCCCAGGGGGTTGGCCTTGATGGCCTTAGAGGCTTCTTCCAACACCATCCTGTTGCTTGACCGAGCGGGGATTCAAACCCAGGCCTCCTGCGTTCCAGTCCACCACTCTGCCCGTCACACTAGGCTGTGTATCCCCTCCCATTATTCTATGATTATATGATCGCACAACGACATTCAGAACAGGCTGGGGGAATGTGTGCCTCTCTGGAGAAACGGGCATCTCTCTGGTTTACCTGCCATGAACGGCAATAGCGGCAACTCCTGTCTTCTCTATCTTCTTCACTAGGTTTATCGTTTCTTCCATCTGAAAAGGGAGAAGAAAGGAACAAACCAACATCCAGAGTTGCTACTTCTGTTCAGTGCAAGCAGCCGTGAAGACCAAAACGCAAGCTTTGTGCACAACGGGTGGGGGGGGCATGAGGACAGGTGTCATCCATAGTTAAAGGCTTACAGATGTGCCTGCAGAATTCTGCGTGTTCTATCCAAAACACAAATCTGCACAAATCTTTCTTAAGGATACCTGTGATTTGTGCACCTGGAGAAATGCCCTTCAAGGGAAGAGCAAAACCTGACTTTAGCCCGCAGCGCCACCACGTCCCCGTGTTTTATGTTAGAGGAGGATTTTTTTTAATGTTCATACATCCCCCCTCAAGGTGTTTATTGCTAAAATTCTCTTTCCTAGGTCTAGAAAAGTGGTTCACCCCCCTCAAGGTGTTTATTGCTAAAATGTCAGATTTAAAGGAGCAAAAATATGGGGAGAGGAAGTCCAGTGGGGTATCTGGGTGTTGCAGTCCAAGAACATCTGGGTGACCCAAGGTTGAGAATCATTGGTCCAAAATCTTAACAAAACGAGCAACACAAACGGCTGTGCGGTTGTTCTCTCTGTATATTTGCAAGAATGGCTCCAACATTGCAAATATTATTTAACACAGCTTACTAAGTTTACATGCGATCAATTAAGCTGTCAAATCCATCATATCCCCTTTTGGAAGTCTGAAGGGTAAATATATTTTTAAAAATTATATATTGACTTACTGCTGTCAGTCAATGTGCTGTTTCCCTCTTTTCTGGAAGAGACAACTACATACGAAGTGCCTCTTACCAACACTGCACTGCCTTGCTTAGACAGTTACTTGCTTTAGTGGTTAATTGGGTTTAAAAAAAAGTTTAAACCAGTTTGGGCAGCTTTGTAAAGTGGAGTGATTATCAACTATGTATTCAAAAACCCAAACAATTCTCTGTGGGGAAAGAGCCCCTAAGTATAAACTTGTCACCTGATCACCCTTGTCCTTGAACGGATGTGATCATTCAAATAACTGGGCCTGCATTTCTGCGGGAAAGTTCCCTGGAGGCAACATCTGAATGCCACCCCCTTACGAGGGCCAGGTCTACTGGGCAGCTGAAAACGGGCTGTTTTATGTTAAAGGTAAAGGTAAAGGTTTCCCTTGACAATTTTTGTCCAATCGTGTTCGACTCTAGGGGGCGGTGCTCATCCCCGTTTCCAAGCCATAGAGCCAGCGTTTGTCCAAAGACAATCTTCCATGGTCACATGGCCAGTGCGACTTAGACACGGAACGTTGTTACCTTCCCACCGAGGTGGTCCCTATTTATCTACTTGCATTTGCATGCTTTCGAACCGCTAGGTTGGCGGGAGCTGGGACAAGCGACGGGAGCTCACTCCGTTGCGTGGATTTGATCTTACGACTGCTTGGTCTTCTGACCCTGCAGCACAGGCTTCGGCGGTTTAGCCCGCAGCGCCACCACGTCCCCGTGTTTTATGTTAGAGGAGGATTTTTTTTAATGTTCATACATCCCCCCTCAAGGTGTTTATTGCTAAAATTTCAGATTTAAAGGAGCAAAAATATGGGGAGAGGAAGTCCAGTCCAATTTGGAGGTTGTGCAGAATAAATTCACAAGGCAGATACTGGGGTTCGCTTCGGGGGACCCTTCAGCTCATATTAGGGCTCAGCTAGGTCAGCCCTCAATGTCAGCCAGAGTTGATCTGGACTACCTTAGATACTTGCATAGGCTAAATGGTTCGGAGGACTGTTCCCTAACCATGTGCTGCTGGCTAGAGCCTTAGTAGTTATTTTGAGAACTTGGCTGGCTTCAATATAGCGGGCACAATAGAACAGGCCTTGCATGTCCAAAATTGGAAACACAGATAGTACTGCTCTTTTAAAATCTGCTTTGCTCATCGCTGTACCATTGGCTACAAGGATGATGCCTGTTTTATCCAGCCACTGTATCCAGCAGGTTACCCTAGGCATGTTTCCACAATCACATATTTCAAAATGTTACAATTGGTTCTTACGGATGACAGGATTCGGATTTTGCAGGTCACTGGCTTCATAATGCCTTTCACCAGAGTGGCCAGGATCTAATGAAAGAGCAGGTATAAAATAGTCTTTAAGCAAAAGGATTTTTTTGATTCTTGAAATACCTACCAGCTCAGATTCTTGAAATACCTACCAGTAACATTCAAGATGGAAAGACAGAAATCAGGATAGACCGTGGAAAGAAAAATAAAAATCAGGAAGTGACATGGGGGAAGGCTTGCCTGAACAGCCAGGTCTTTAATTGGCTCTTAAAAACCCCCAGCGAGGAAGCTTCTGACCAAACTCTGCTTGTCTGGTCCTGAACGGAATTAAGACATCTGGACAGGCCTCTCCCATCCAAGGCCCAAGGGCTGTTACCAAGTGTGGAAAACAGCATGACAAATCACAGCGTGTGGAGCCCAGGACGGGTATATTTTTTTGGGGGGGGTGTCTAGCTCTTCCAGACTTCCCCAGATGGCATGCACATCTGGACAGGCCTCTCCCATCCAAGGCGCAAGGGCTGTTACCAAGTGTGGAAAACACCATGACAAATCACGGCGTGTGGAGCCCAGGACGGGTATATATATTTTTGGGGGGGGGGTCTAGCTCTTCTAGATTTCCCCAGATGGCATGCGCTAGGGCGGTGGTTCCCAACCTTGGGTAACCCAGGACTTCTTGGACTGCAACTCCCAGAAACCCTGACCAGCACAGCTAGTGGTGAAGGCTTCTGGGAGTTGCTGCTCAAGAACATCTGGTTGACCCAAAGGCTGGGAACCCTTGAGCTATAGGGCAGAACACCTGGGTGACCCCAAGGTTGGGAACCCTTGAGCTATAGAGCAGTGGTTCTCAAACTGGGTTTCCCCCAGATGTTCATGGACTACAACTCCCAGAAGCCTTCACCACTTGATGTGCTGGCCAGGATTTCTGGGAGCTGCAGCCCAAGAACATCTGGGGACCCAACTTTGAGAACCACCGGCCTCGGGGAGTAGCAGTCTGAAAGGCAACTCTTATGAGCTCTGATTGCATCCGTTAAGACAGAATATCTGGGGACCCCAGTTTGAGAACCAAGGGCAACTCTCCTGAGCTTTGATTGCCCAACGTTAAGACGGTTGTGTGCTTTTGGCACAACTCTGTGAGATTTCCATGACTGAGCAGTTCAGCCAGCTGGAAAAAAATATTAACAAAACTAGAAGAGTAGCAGTTTGGTCTTTTTTCTATTAATGGGACAATACATACTAATTTACAACTGAGGGAAATAAATAACAGGGGAGAGAGATTACTTACAGATTCTATTTTGTCCGGATCAGACAAGAGTGCGGCTCCCATCCCTCCCTGTGTGAAGGCACACACACACACAAAAAGACCTTCATTATCTGAGCAGCAGAAAAACGCAAGGTTGCAAATACCTGTCGCAAGATCCTGGCATTCCCAACATAAAAACATCCCAAACTGCAGGCTGGGAGGACGTTTCACCCCAAGGGAGAGACAGAAAAAGGGGAAAAAAAGGAAATGGGGCTTCTTGGCGGTCACCCCTTTGTTCTGGAACAAACCGCTGCCTGAGATTCATCTGGTCCTTTCCCTGGAAATTTTCAAGAAATCCTTAAAAACCTCTCTCGTTTTGGCAGGCTTTCTAAATTTCGCCATCGTGAAACGCTCCGCTTTGACACCTGCAGCCATTCGATTAATTTTCAGTTTATTCTAGCTTTATTGCATATATTGATGGGCACTCTGTAATTGTTTCTACTCTTGTAAACTACCCAGAGTGACCACCAGTCAAATGTGCAGACTAGAAGTTGAATTAAATAAATAAAGCACACATTTCTCCATCTTTTGTTAAAATATCCTAGATATCTATTTCTTCCAGTTAAAGATTAAGCTTGAAGGGATGCCAGTAAATACATCAGTCTATATACAACTACCACAATGCTGGGGCCACGCAAGAGCTTAGACACCTCATAAATTTGAGAACTGTGTACAACAGGTAACAAACTAACGGAACTAGAAGAGGATGAAGCAGATGCATAGATGTAACTCCCCGCGGTGCATCTTGCTTTCTTTAAAGGGGAAAAAAAAAGGTTACAATGCAGGCAGGTACCACTGACCAACCTTAGTGGAATATTCTTTGGGGCACCCCATGTTGACATCAATAGCAGCCACATCGTTCTCTCTGAATTGCAAAGAACAAATGAGAAATCACAAGCGTGAACAGTACAGGGTCCAAAGTAAAATTGATGCTATCAATTCACGGAAAAGATTCACACCCAGTTTTTGATGCAGCTGAATTCCCAAGGTATTTTTTAAGGATCCCAAGCCCTTATTGGTCTCTAGATAGCACAAGGTGGGAACAGGGAGAGACCAAGGGAGGGGGGGATATCATGTTAAAAATTATGCCTAGTTCTCTGGTGGCCTGGCCGTTGCCATCCTTGAGGAGTCTGCGAAAAGTTCGAGGTTCATAAAAGCCACCCACCCTGGCAAGTTATTAAGGAGCATGACACACAACTGCCATGAGGTGGCAAGGGCTCTATCTTCATCCAGGCCAGACAGAAGTCACTGTGCCTAGCAAGGCAACTCAGATAAATGTGGGAGGGGTAGAGCGCAGGATTCTAAAGCTTCTCTGAAGCTCCCTGATGTTCTCGCTACTACCATTATTATCAGCAGTTCTGAGCCATCCAGAATTGCTGGACGGCTCCATGGTTTAGGCATCTGGCTAGGGAGCTAGACGTTGTGAACAGAATTGCTGGACGGCTCCATGGTTTAGGGATCTGGCTAGGGAGCTAGAGGTTGTGAGTTCGATTCCCCATAAGGTCCCTTCCGGCTCTGCAGTTCTAAGATTGATCAATTATTTGTTTACTTATTTTGGTTTACAGCAAGCCACATTAACATTTCTAGGTACAGACTACTCAGCAGTAGGTAACCATTCCCTTTTTCTGGAGACACCCTGGGACTCTGCAGCTGGCCCAAGGCCACCCGGGCTGGTCCTTCTGAGAGAAAGGTGGGGAATCAAACGTCCACCTGACATGCTCTCATTGACTCAGCTATCCAGCCAGCTACAAAACTAACATGCCATTAGCATCTATTGTTTTGCTTAGCAAGGCAGTAATCTTTTTCTGGATTTACATCTAGGGCTGGCTTGCCAGTAAAGATTTTACCAAACAAGTTCTCAACAGGTTCCATTGGAAACAAACAAAGAAGATTATTCTGCTTACTTACACAAGTTTGGCTACTGCTAAAGCCCTCTCGGCATCAGCTGTTCCCTGAACGACAGCAAGAAGAAAAAAGAAGTAAAGAACAAATTTTCTAGTTGCCACTGACTGCTGGATTTCAGCCAATGGTTATGTGTGTGTGTTTAGTCGTTTAGTCGTGTCCGACTCTTTGTGACCCCATGGACCAGAGCACGCCAGGCCCTCCTGTCTTCGCCAATGGTTATAATTTTAAATAAAAATGCAATACACCTCCCAGTAGGGTGGTGGAATGTCCAGGTCTCCAGGCCCTAACTACTCATGAGGAAGGGGAAGATCCTTTCAGAACTTCAACTTCCAAGTAGAGTTGAATCAGACAGTTCTTTAAACAGAAAATGACTCCAAATATAGCACTATCTTCCGACCTCTCTGAAAACTGAGGTAAAGTAGGAAACAAAGCTTATCCCAGTGAACTGCAAAAGTATCAGCTGGATTCCAGGTACCAACGCTTATTGAAAAATGGAATAACACAAATTATATTTTGTTGGCAGAAAGATGAGCATTCGCTAATTCTTACCATTTGAAAGACAACCCGATCCTTTTCCTTTTCACAGGTTCTGAACACAACCCTCTCGTTGCGAGCCACAAAGTCCACTGTTCCAAGCACATCTATAAGACAAAGAGGATTTTACACTAAGGTAAAGAATTTCCACATAGGAATTTATTGTATCAGAACAGAATGGAGCTTATAGTCCTTGCACACAAAAATCCCCTCCTTTGAGCACCATCCATGACCAGGCAGGGCTCAAAAAGTAACGTTCAGAATCCTTGATGATCAACTGCAGATTATAAAATTGTCTACCACCGAATTCCAATTTATCTCTTTCATCCTACAGATCGAGAACATTCAAAATTTCTTGTTGAAACATACTTGACATCAAGGTGTCAATTTATTTAAAATGCAAATAAAAGGCAAGACAGCAAAAATCCCCTAATAATCAATAGAGGTCACACCCATCTTTTGCAACCAAGTGATCAATCCTGTCAAAATCTTTGAAGTCCAAATAAGGCCCACTTAATTTAAAAACTACAAATGGAACAATGGCCCCTTCTTAGCATGTTCTTAATATGTCTGAAATAATGACCATTTTTGAAACAACCTCCCCATGTCTATGTGTGCCATTGTCCATGGACATAAAAACATATAATCTTGTCCATCTAACTCCGCATCTTGCAAAAATAAGTAATTTTTAAAGCTTTAATCCAATACCACAGATTTATTTTTGAACAGCACACACGCCATGCAGTTGAGATGATTGATGAGCATCTTATCCCTCATTTTCAACTTTCTGTAATGCTTGCATTTGTTTAACAGCGCAAAGCAACTGAAGGAATCAAAAATAGTAGGAAACCAGAATGACCTAACCTTAATTTGTAATTTGGTAAACAAAGTAAGCAGATACTTGCCATTTACCATTCTCTTGCATTGAAGCATCTTTATGTCAATCAGCTCCTTAAAGACAAAAATTCCAGAAACAATGAGATCAAGAGCTCTAGGATGTGTTTTGCTGTAGATCAGAGCTGTGGAATCTGTGACTTTCCAGACACTGGTGGTAATTCCCAACTCTCCCAGAACGACGAGAAAATGATGAGCAATGATAGTCAGAGCTGTTAATCAAGACGTGGAGGGCGATAAACATTTCACCTTCTGACTTTACAAAAAAATACTCCAGTTTGACCGACAAAAATAAGTACCTGGGCAAAGTGTGAATTTCCTTTTCCTAATTTTCATTAATTGTAGTTTCTGATGCACAAGGATCCTGTTATAGGCACCCCAAAAAACAACAATGACTTTTTCAACTTAGCTAAATGTATACTCCAATTAGCACTGGACAATGCTTTTTAACAATTAAGGAAGGAATGGGGAATTTGTTCCATGAAGCACTGGAAAGTCTCTCCATCCACAAGGATGCTTCCCGATTTCTCAGCTGGGATTAGCAAGAAGGCCACCTTATGCTGGCCATATGTCTCCATAAGTCCATTCAGTCATGCAGCCCTTGACACAGAATCCAGTCTCTGAATCAGCTACATAGCTAGCAATATATCATACCAAACTTTGATATGTGTGTGTGTGAACACACCTTTTGACTTGTCACAGTATGAAAACAAAGGGTGAAAAAAATCTATTTACTCACACAATCGCAAAAGGCAATTGTGTCTGTGCTTCCCTGCTGCCTCCAGCAGGCTCTGCGTGGCACACCCAATTTTGCACTGCCTGCAGAATCGGAGGCGCTCCTGGTTGTGTGAAAGTGGGAAGAAAACTCCTTCCAGGCACAGCTCTTCTCCAATTAGATTTTGTGGTGTTTGCTAGTACAAGACACATCAATAAAGAGCAAAGCATGTGTCAGACTCAGCCAAACACTCCAAAATGCTTCTCAGTGGTACTTCTCACATATTTGCACATCTGCAATGAAACCAGATCAGAAAAATATCCCCCTTAAAAAAAATACTCCAAGATATTCGCCTGTCATGTGATTTAACAAACAGAAAACAGAGCTGGAAGGGACCTTATGGATTATTGAATACTGCCCCTGTTAAGGAGGCCTAGTGGAGAATCGAATTTCCAACCTCTGGCTCTAAACCTAATCTACTGAGCTATCCAGCAGTAAGCGTTGTGTTCTTGCCATCTTACCTCACAATAAACAATATCCGCCCCATAATCCAAAGCCAAGAGCCGCATTGGTAGGGTCCCGACCCGCACCATAGGAGCTAAGATGACCTTATTTTTGAAACAGAGCGAAGTTGTGTTCACTGTCATACTGTCTTTTGAATTATCTGAAACAAACAAAAAAACAAATTATTATTTTTTTAAACTGAGAAAATGTCCAGCTATAAACAAACGAGGACAAGGAGACAAGAGACAATAACATGAATACAGAACTCACATAAAGATTAAATTGCTTAGCTGAAGTGTGGTGTGCTGAATTAATATGAATATCTGAAAATGACCAGACAGCTAAGATTTGCGTCTGACTTCTAAACCGTACTCTAAAACCATGGATTGTGAATCTAAGCAGAAACGGAGGGCCTACGTTTGTCTAAAAGTGCTTTACACAGAAAAGCAAAAGAGATGTAAAATGCAAGCCTATGACTCAGGAGCTACAAAAGACTAATGCAATTTCAGTTTGCCCTGAAAGATTCATCACTTCCAAATAATAATAAGCAGCGGATCCATTGTATTCAGCAATTCATTCCAATTAAGGATTATCTGCTGCTTTTAAGAAGGATGTAGATAAACCGTACTGGGTTCAGAGGAAGGCAAGCAAAAAGCTCAGGGGGGCTTAAGAGCACAGAAAACAAGGCACTGGCTAAGTATAGCCTGAAAAGAGAAGCCGCGACAGAGGAGGAAGAAGCCATCTGAAAGACTGTTTTGCAGAGAAAAAAAATATGCAAAGGCTAATTCCTTGCAGCTGGAAAAGCAGATCTAAATCTAATGGGTGTAAGTGACAAGAGGGAAGATGGCAAGCAGCATTATGAGGAATCTTTTTAATTGCAAGAAAGGCACTGGCTAAGTATAGCCTGAAAAGAGAAGCCGCGACAGAGGAGGAAGAAGCCATCTGAAAGACTGTTTTGCAGAGAAAAAAAATATGCAAAGGCTAATTCCTTGCAGCTGGAAAAGCAGATCTAAATCTAATGGGTGTAAGTGACAAGAGGGAAGATGGCAAGCAGCATTATGAGGAATCCTTTAAATTGCAAAAGAACTCTGGTTATAGAATCACGATGAGCAGACTTGTCCTCGGTGGAAGTCTTCAAGGAGAGAGCACATCGCCGCCTTTGCCCCGATCCTCTACTTATAGGGCAATCATAAGCCCTACTTATAGGGCTCCTGTGCCTCTAATTATTGGTGAATGGCAATGCGCACAAGAGGGGATCCTGTAGACCATCGTGACTGCTGCCTGCCATGGGTGTCGCCAACATTCAGGCTGCCCTTCGCTAGGTAAAGCTTGGCTACCTTTTTCCTGCTGGCAAGGTGGGCATGATCTTGTGCAGGCCTCTTTCTTTTATAATCACAAGTACTTTCCTAGCACAGAGGTGCAGCTTAAATTCACTGCTGCTCCTGTGGCACCTGTGACCTGTCCCAGAAACAAACCATGGCTGGCAGGCATTGTGTATCATTCACCAGGTGACATCATACAAAACAAAACAGCAGAAGCTAACTCTTTTTTAAACTATTTCTCATCTAAATACAAAGCAATTGTCAGACCTGTTCTTTTAAAAAATATATAAATGGTAGTGAGTACAAGAGGGTATCCTGTAGACCATCTTGACTGCTACCATTGCTGTTGTCAACATGCAGGCTGCCCTTTGCTAGGTAAAGCTTGGCTACCTTTTTCCTGCTGGCAGGGCGGGCATGATCTTGTGCAGCAATATCGGGCCATTTCCTGGCTTTTTGAACCGTGGATACAGAAGCACAATATCCCACATTCATAAACCAACTTTAAAAAAAAAAAAAAAGAATTGACTCATAGCTACCCAGGGGTGATTTTAGCAATTTTAATGCAAAATTTCACCAGCTGAAACGTCCTGCCCCAGGAACCCAGTCCTCTTTTCCCTCCATTAAGAGGGGACTGAGAAGGGCTGTGCCACCCTGCTCACATTTATTTATATGGGAGCCAGTGGGGTGCAGTGGGTGGAGGGAGGGAGACCTGGGTTCGAATCCCTGCTCGGCCATGGATACTCACCTGGGCGGCTGGCCCTGGTAAAAGCAATCATTAAATATCTGACAGGTCTTCAAAAGTCTATTAGGGTCACCTTAAGTCAAAAGCGACGTGGGGGCCCGTCACCCCATCTCTAGACCCTCCTTTGCCGCTGGAAAAGCGCTGACAGGATTGTATCTAGATCAATTATAATCATTTTTTTTTTAAAAAAGGCAGCTCTAGATCTCAAATTCCCCAAACTCGGGAATCTACGAGAAGACAATAAATCCTAAATAAAAATACAATTGCAAAATAAAAAGAAATTGCAAAATTACATTAAAACTGCAGAATAAAAAGAAATTGCAAAATAAAATAAAATTGCAAAATAAAATAAAGGACTATATATTTTTAAAAATGCTTTTTAAAATCCTCCATCAAAGCTCTAAAATAGCACCTTATTTACCCCAGAGAGGCAGGAACGCCTGCAAAGGTTAAGATCGCGGGGACTACCACTCCCATATTCCCCCAGTCAAGGTCCTGGGGTTGGGGGAGGGTGGGAGTTGTAGTCCCCCTCGCCCAACCCCCCACATTTCTAAGCCCTTCTCTAGGCACCGACCGGGCAGCCGTTAAAAAGCCAGGAAAAAGGACAAGGGAGCCAATTATCCCCACCGTTAATTAACCCACCGACCGCTCGCGCACCCCCTCTCTCGGCCCCGCCTCCTTCCTCCACGCGCCGGCTCCCCTCTCTCTACGCATGCGCCGAATTCGCCCCCCCTCTTTCACTCCCCTGAGATCGTCATCCCCCGCGTGCTTCCCTTAGGGAACATAGAGATAAGAAAAGAAGTGAGAGACTTTTCTCTTAAACTCAATGAATCCTACAGTTTTAGAAGTATCGGCAACTCAGCTCATTGACAGACAAAAAACGTAGTGAAGCCAATAACTTCAGCTCATAAGTTTTATTTCCAAGCAGGGAAACCCAGTAGTCAGCGTATCCATTAGATACCCACCCCTTGTTTTCCTGGACGTGTCACTCTATATTTCTTTCTCTAGGGTCTGAAGCCGGTCGGCGAGGGCGCTACAGTTTTAGAAGTATCGGCAACTCAGCTCATTGACAGACAAAAAACGTAGTGAAGCCAATAACTTCAGCTCATAAGTTTTATTTCCAAGCAGGGAAACCCAGTAGTCAGCGTATCCATTAGATACCCACCCCTTGTTTTCCTGGACGTGTCACTCTATATTTCTTTCTCTAGGGTCTGAAGCCGGTCGGCGAGGGCGCGGAATGTTGTCGTCATCTTTCCCCCCCCTCCCCGCCGCCGCCTGCCCTGCGAGCGCCCGGCCCGGCGGCGGCGGCGTCGCGCAGTTCTTGCGTCATCCGCTTGCGACCGTTGCCTGGGTTTCCTTTTTCCCAGCCGGAGAGGCGATGGCCGGCCGGGCCGCTTGGTCCGCCTGGTTCTCCCTTCGGCTGCCGCTGAGGCCGGCGGTCCGGTGGAGCTCGGGGCTGCCCCCGGGCCAGGAGGAGGCGGCGTCGGCGAAGGCGAAGGCGAAGGCGGAGGAGATCCCGGTCGTGCG